AATTTTAAAACAACCAAACAACTTCTTTTCCCTTCCCCTGATTTTTGCAGAAAGTAAAGAAAAAAAAAATATCATAAGCTATCTTTATTGGACTTAATTTCTTGTCATAAAATACCAGCATTCGACACGTAATTGACAGACACAATGGTGAAGATTCAATTCTTTAATTTGATACAAGATTTTTTTTTTCTTTTAAAATGAACTTACCCCCGATTCCATGATGGATCTAAGTCAACACAGTGAGAAGATAAGCTTCTTTGGTTTGGTCCAATCGGTGAACAGAGCTAATGTTTCAAATCAAAAAGTTGGTATGTCAAAGGGGACAATAAAAATCTCATTGGGGCCTTCATTGTCCCCAAAATCATGACAATGTCAAGATATAAACTACATAGAGGGATTGTGACAGTGTCCCATAGCCAAAATTTCCCTCCCTCCCTAGGGCCAGATCGGAACCTCATCGCACCATCGAGCTTGAAAGCTGGCGTGCAAAAACCAACATGAATTAGACACAAAAATCACATAAAATGACTAGAAAGAATCCTTTACAACAGGTGATTGTTTCATGTATGTTTGTGGTGTGGTAGAATCCCGGGGGTCCATCACATGCACCACCCGGTGGCTCGCACCTTGTAGGCTCATCCAATTGCAAAACTTATCGACCCACTTTGGATTTTTTTTTTATAATTTTGTAATCAAGTTTGGTACCAAACATGGTAGCAGTCACAACACAATTATATGATGGAATGCTTTGGATCTATGATATTTGGTTTTTGGAGTCAGCGTTGGATTCTTTGTAATCAAATTAATTTGCAAGTGTAACTTGTTAATCTTGGGTGTTGCAGTAATGAGACAAATAAATGGTGGAGCAAAGGGCGCAGGATCACATGAATGTGTAGGGCATACACAGTAGTTGGGCGGTGGACAGAGGTATATTTGGCCTTGCAAGTATCAAATAGCAACCAAAAAGAAGGGTGGGGGATTGTGGCTTTCCCTTGTCTAACGACATTTGACAATCAGTGATGTCCATGGATAGGATCAGTCATATCTTATTTCAAGTTAAACCATGTTTTTGGCAAATATCGGATGTATTTGCCAAGTCCTCGCCTCAACCTTATCATCAATGTGCAATTTGAATCCATTTTCAATCACATTAGTAAACCAATGAGCGGATACAGAAAATACAGAAGGCTGAATCGACTCCTACTCGTATTATTTATGCTTTTGCGAACTCCATTAATCTCAGTCCAAAAGCAACTGCAAATTGAAACTTTGGAGTGTTAGCTGTAGTGCTTGTGATCAGTGTCCTGTCTGAATGAACATAGATTGTGATCAACTAATTAGAACAGAACCTTTCCTGAGCAATTGTGGGCGATGAAGTATAGCTTCGTTGGAGATTATACCTTGAAACAAAATCTTTCCACCCTGAACCTATTATTTCCTTTTTATCATTTATTTAACTCTCCAAGATAGGGTATAAAAAGACATTATGAACACTGCTCATAGTCATTTCGTTCAATTTTTAATAGAAAAAAATATGATCTCACTCAAGGTTATTCAGTAAACAACTGAATCAATTACAAGGAATGGATGGTTCAAGAGTTTTGCTTTTACTAAAGACACAAAATTTTCTGATTTATATCTTATTTTGTGAATCTTCAATCATGTCTTAGGGTGATTTTTTCTGAAGAAAAAATTTTTAGGGACTAGTCAAAAATATGTGGACAATTCTAGGAAATTCAATGCCTTTTGACATGGCTTTTACAACTTGATTTTTCCACCTTCATCTTGATAACTAATTAAATTTGTATTTGATGTATTGTCAAATAATAACATCTAATGAATGAATAATATAAAAATCTTAAAATTAAGGAGTTTAAGTCCATTTAAATTTTATAATTAATAAGAAATATTTAACCAATCATAATTTAGTTGTAGTAAGTTAATAATCCTTTGCGTGATGAACGGCTCAGTCACTATGTACTGTTGAGCCCAAACTTAATTCCAGCCCAAATCGTAAACCAAATCCTAATCAGCGTTGGATCGATCCGAAACCTTGCAGGATGTTTTCTTCTATAAAAAGGGAAACAAAGAAACTCACTTTATGACTAGAATAGCATTGTTATTGGAATTGAAAAAAAAAAAAAAGATTTAGGGAGAAAAAAACTCACTTTTGATTAGTCGCTTTCCCCAGATCAAAAAAGAAAAACCCAAGATTGAAAACAATTCGTCCTCTATTATGAAAGACGAAGAAGAAGGGTTTGATTTCCGTGATTTTGGACTTGATTTTAATTCCATTCCCACAAACTCAACCTCCCCATCTAAGGAAGACAAAATTGGTAACTGGTTTAAGTTTTTCTCTGTCAAAAGGGTTTGGAAATAGCCAAATTCAACCACAAGGCTATATTCGTCGTCGGTTTAAGGCGGCTGGACACTATATTCAGCATTGCCCTGCCAATAGTGATCCCAACTTTGATTTTAAAAGGATTAAGCTTACAACTGGGATTTCAAACGAATCTGTTTCAACTTCGAGTAGTTCTGTTGGTGATAATTTACCATCTGAATTACACTGCCCATTATGTAAGAATATCATTAAAGATGCTGTTTTGCTTGCTTTTCCGATGAATCTATGAGGGATCGAGTCTATTTAGTTCTACTTAAATCTATTCAAATATTATATTGCATTTTGTTCTACTTTAATTTTAGCAATATAAATATTTGAATTTGTTTTTATGGATTTAATATTAACTTTCTTTTCTTTTCTTACCCAATTGTTTGATTAATAAACAATAAATTTTCTAAATATGATATCATTTACCAACATCCAGCATATGCACATTGTCTTATGCTGTCCTTTTACATCTATTTCATTCATTTTATGCATTGGACTTTTTTATTGAGCAATTCTAAAACTCGTGTTTTATAGGGTTTGAGTTCGGTTAAATTTCAGTTTAAAACATAAATTAACGTGGAAACCATGCTCTAAGTAGTTAAGCGTAGGTTTCTGTTACAGCAATGTGACTTTTTTACTCTATGTGGGCTTTAAAACTTCTTCAAATACAAGTGGTTGGTTCAATTGATTAAATTTATCTTATTCGATAAAAATGTTGGATTCGAATTTTATCGGTAATCATTTATTTGCATCATCTCGAATGCACAACCTGTAATCATTTATTTTAGGTTGTAAGATACGATACATCTTACTTTAACCTAAAAAACTGAACAACTTATTTATCTTAAATTTTTTCTTACAAAAAAAAAAAAAAACTCCTCCTGTGAATATTTTATCTTACTATGTGACTTACTAAAATGAGACCTCCCAAATATAGCCTTTATTACTCTAATTATTAGTTTTATTTTTTTTCAAAAAAAAAAAAAAAAAAACTTTTATGCAAGATGGTTAATGAAGCATTGATATTCTTTAGCATTTTTAGGGTTCTTTGGCAAGTTGATAGGAGAATCTTTCACTGCAATGTCATTACGATTGAATCATTAAAAATTGAGTTATAAAACATAACTATGACGGATAAAAATCTCTTCCATCACATTATCAAATGAATTTTTTTTTTTTTCAAAAGCTTATGACAACATACATTGCAACGGTAATTTTTTAAATAAAATATCAAACAAATTCTATATAATATATTGATAAATATTTAATAGATTTTAAAGTTAAGATTATTGAATAGGTATGGTTTTTTTTTTCTTTCATTCTCCTCGTTAAAAAATTTTAAAAGTTAATTACTATATATGTATTATTTTCAATATTAATTTAATCACATAAATAAAAAACTAGTTTTACTATTTATAATCACTCAAACAATCACAACAATAACTTTACATTACTCAAAATAAGCCCACCATACTTAATTAAAGCATTGATCCAAACAAATTTCATCAATATCTATCATTAATACTATTTATAACATATACTTTCTTCGTAAGAATGTAAGAAAATTGTTCAAATATTTGTTAAGATTAAGAGTGTAAATGATACATTAGTACTCGCAAACTACTCGAGTTCGATTCGAAGAAAATTCGAATTCAATTCGATTATTATCGAGTCGAACTCAAGCTCGAGTTCGAATAGTTCGACTTATCGATCGAGTCAAATTCGAGTATTCTTATATCCGATTCGAGTAACTCGCGAGCCTAATCGAACTTTTATATTTAAATATATTTTTATTATTTTAATTAATAAAATATTTCGAGTCCCAGTTCGAGCATAAACAATCGAACTCTTGTCGAGTATACGAATCGAGCTTATTTTTACATATTAATCGAACTTAATCGAACGAGCTCGAGTAGCTTGAATTCGATTACAAATCGAGCTCGAGCTTGAAAAATAAAATTCGATCGAGTTCGAGTCAAGTATCGAGCCCTGAATTATGAGTGGAGCTCGAACTCGAGTGCGAGCTTCTCACTTATCAGTTCGACTCAACTCGATTACACCCCTAATTAAGATCAAAAATTTAAAATATTAGTGAAATGAGCAAGATATATACCATACGTTAAAATCAACAATTTTTACTTAATTTATCAAAGAATTATTTAATTATTTAATTTATGAAGATAAATAAAAACATCCCACGGAAAAAAAAAGATGATAGAATGTGCAAATAAAGTAATGTTGAAAAATAAAATAATATTTAATTTATTTATGCTCAAAATTTTATTAGATTAGATCTAGTAATTTATGTATTTGTATATATTTATTTTGTATTTAATATTTGTAAAACACAAAAATTTTTATATTAAAATAAATTCATTAAATATAAAATAAATATTTTTATTTTTATCAAATTCTTATATAATTTTCTAATATTTTAAACCATGTTGAAATTATATATTTTTTCGTCTTTGTGTAATTATTTCGTGTTTAAAATTGACATTTTATGTTAGACTTGGGCCCTTTTGGGCTTTTGGTCTAAACCAGCAACCAGATGAGCTGATCTGATTTCCTGTTGTTGGACTTGAGTGAATGAAATCTTTGTCTAGTTGGCAGTTCTGATTCTAGTGAATCTTCTGTTCCCCCCTGCCGAATCCCATCCAGATCCAGGCGAGCACATGCCAATTCTCACCAAACTCTCTTCTTCACATTGCTTATTACAATACACGACAAATTTTCATACTTCTTTCCAGATCTCCTCAGTCAGATCTAACAGATCAATCATCTTTTCTTTCTGTCAAAATTTGCTTTTTGGTCTCTGAAGTCTGAATCTTTGAATCTCCATGGATGAAGCACAAGCAACTTCTTCAAAAACTATGAGAAGCTACTGGAGATGGACCAAAAAAGACTTCTTCCCAGAAACCTCATTCGAAACCATGTCATCTTACAAAACAGCACTTTCCCAAACCTGTCCTCGTCTCACTGACCGTCTCTTAGCACGTTCCTCCTCAACCAACGAGCTTGTAACCCTTCAAAAAGTAAGTGAAAACCCTATGCAAAAGTGTCTAACCTGGTGGGACCTTATTTGGCTAAGCTTTGGCTCAGTTGTTGGTTCTGGCATATTTGTCATCACAGGTCAAGAAGCTCATGATGACGCAGGTCCAGCTATTGTTTTATCTTATGCAATATCTGGGCTTTCAGCGTTGCTATCAGTTTTTTGTTACACTGAATTTGCAGCTGAGATTCCTGTAGCTGGTGGTTCATTTTCATATCTTCGTATTGAATTAGGTGACTTTATTGCATTTATAGCTGCTGGTAATATTCTTTTAGAAGCTTTAGTTGGAGCTGCAGGGTTAGGAAGATCATGGTCATCTTATTTTGCTAGTATGATTAAGAGTGATCCCGATTTTTTTAGAATTAGGGTTAATTCTTTGCGTGAAGGGTTTAATCTCTTAGATCCAATTGCAGTTGTGGTACTTTTGGTTGCTAATGGTATAGCAATGAGTGGAACTAAGAGAACATCTTGGTTGAATTGGATTGCTTCTTTGCTTAGTGGTATGGTGATTGTTTTTGTTATAATTTTTGGGTTTATTCATGCCAAAACTTCAAATCTGGAACCATTTTTTCCATATGGGGTAGAAGGGGTTTTTAGGGCTGCTGCAGTGGTTTATTGGTCTTACACGGGTTTTGACATGGTGGCTAATATGGCTGAGGAGACTAAGAAACCCTCGAGGGATATACCAATTGGGTTGGTTGGTTCAATGTCTGGAATTACTGTGGTTTATTGCTTGATGGCTTTAGTATTGACCATGATGGTGAAGTATACTGAGATTGATGTAAATGCTGCGTATTCTGTTGTTTTTGAGCAAATTGGGATGAAATGGGCCAAGTATTTGGTTAGTATTTGTGCACTCAAGGGAATGACTACAAGCTTGTTGGTTGGATCTCTTGGGCAAGCTCGATACACCACTCAGATCGCTAGAGCTCATATGATTCCTCCTATTTTTGCTTTGGTTCATCCCAAAACTGGAACTCCTGTAAATGCTACCCTGCTGGTGACAATAATTAGTGCTATTATTGCATTTTTCTCTAGTTTAGATGTTTTGTCGAGTGTTTTATCTTTCAGTACGCTCTTCATTTTTATGCTAATAGCTGTTGCATTGCTTGTGAGGCGATGTTATGTGAAGGAAGTTACTCCAAGAAATGATTTGATAAAATTTCTCATGTGTTTATTCATTATTATTGGTTCTTCAATTGGAGTTTCAGCACTTTGGAATTCTAATGAGAGAGGATGGATCGGGTACACTGTGGCTGGACTGCTATGGTTCTTGGGCACTTTGGGGATGGCATTTCTTTCCAAGCAGCGTGTTCCAAAGGTTTGGGGAGTTCCGCTGGTTCCTTGGTTGCCATCTTTGTCAGTTGTGATGAACTTGTTTCTCGTAGGATCTTTAGGATTCAAGGCATTTTTGAGGTTTATCATTTGCAGTGCAGTAATGATAGTATACTACCTACTTTTCGGTCTTCACGCCACTTATGATGTGGCTCACCAGAATGAAGAAGTGTCAAAATTTGAAGAGGGTACATAAAGCTGTAACCTGAGGAACAATTCATGGAGTAGTATTTTATTGTATCTTGTGGTATGATCTGGTATTCATGGTGTAGTATTATGTAACCTGTGGTACAGCATTTTGTGGTATTTTGTACATTCTTAATATTGTCATTTATAAAGCTTTTGATATTGTTTAAGTTGTTATGTGTATTTTTGGTGGAATCTACCAATGTCGAATGAAATCATATATTTCACCACTTTTCTTGTTTTCTTTTACTGAAGTACTGAACTCTGTTTATTGTCCAGCCGGTATGCTTACCAACTTGTAAATGTTAAACAAAATATTTTCTACACTTACCAACTTGTAAATGTTAAACAAAATATTTTCTACACTTGGGATTTCTATTTCTTGCTCATTCAATTTGGGGAATCTGTTACTCTAAGAGGCCATTATAAAGCTGTCTAGATTTATTAAGAAGTTGAGCGTACTCCGCAAGACTATGCAGTTAAAGATAGAGATTGAGAAGCTCTCTCTCTCTCTCCCCCACACACAGACACTCTTCCCTATCACTCTTTCTGTTACAGTCTCTGAGAGTTTGCCTTTGCTCCTCTCGTTTTGTGTTGGCTATGGGGTTTCCCAAGCTAATGCGATGAATTCCTGATCTTACATGGGCTATTAAATTTTTCCAGTTTTAGTTCTATTGTGATTACTACAGTATTGAGATTTGAGACCATCAGATGTAGCTATTCAAATAACTGTTTCCCAAGGTGCTGCGGAACTGTACTAATCTTTTGCAGGTTGTGACACACCATTATGACCATGTGTTAGGAATGGTGTGTTATTAAAATAATATGGAATTAAATGCAATCCATGATGACTATGCTCTAGTGCTAAGTGCTAACCATGGTGCATAAATAGAGGGAAATTAATGTAATGTCATGAATCCAGCTTCATCTAGGAAAATTGGCTTGAAATCAATCATTATGTTCTGGTTTTTCTTCTCTATTGGAAATGACTGGTTTTCTACTAGCTAGATTCCTCAGGAAAGATTTAAATGATAGATTGCAAGGGCTCACATGGTTTATCCTGATATTGCCCTGTTCTCCCTAAATCTAGATCCCTCATAATGGCAATTTCAGTAGCTTCCTTGCTGGTTTTCTTACTCTGATGTCTCAATGAGTTTTTAGGTTTACTGGACTACGGCAAGTAATTTGCTTAGGACTGTTTCTGACTTGTATGATAATCGCTTTATACCAGAGTGTAGTCATGTTTATTATTTGTTTTATATTGTTAGATGTTGATATGAATCATGCATTCTGGGGTCTAACACCAGTAAGTCGACTATCTGGTCACCGCAAACTTTTCTTTTTAGCTGTTTGGATAATTGGGTTTTCATTATCTCAAAGGCAGCTATTGTGAAGGCTTGTTGGGTGGTATTTATGTTATTGCCACCACAACCCTGAGTTGATAAATTGATCCTGCAGTATTCATAAAGTTCATTACTTCTATTTTAGTGATTCTGGAATAATATCTCTTTTCCGGTTGCCATAGCACTTATCAAACATTTAATGGAATAAAGAAACTATAAAGTGGCAAGATAATAGATGAAGGCTTCAGATTTTATGATTAGCGAGTGACATTAAACCTGATCGTAAAAGCAGCATTCTAAGTGTTCTAAAAGTGTCTCCTGGTGATGTATAGAACTGGAACGAATTTCATACTAATATTTTTCTTTTCCAGCAGAGCAGTGGAGAATCAGTCTGGAAGTAAGTTTGTTTTAGATGTTTATGTGTTTATCAATGTAATTCAGTTTTAATGAGAACTATAGCCCTCTTTAGTGGTGTAACATTCTTCTGTTGGTTTACACTTTTCCTGATGCTGTAACTGATACTGCTCAAGATATTTGTTGATATGTTTTACCGCTTGTGCTATATGCTTAAAGATCCATTCTTCTTGTCTTGAAATTGATTCAAGAATTGCTAGGTATTGAAGAATGAAACTTATTATGTTCTCCAGTCAGTGTGTTGAAGGTCATTAGTAGTGTCATGAACTATAAAACAAGTAGTCCTATCATGGAAAGAACCATCGTTGAAAACTGAATTTTCTACATTCAACTTTGATCTAAATACGTATACCAAGTCTCTTTTCTTTCTTTTTTTTTCCTGAAAACCTCGAATTCAGTTATCCATCTTATGTTTGATCTTAATTTTTATCCAAAAATCTGTGGGGTATTGTTTATAAAATTGATTTTCTGAAATGCAGTCATCTTCCTGGCTTGTTCTTTTGTGACGTGAAAAATGGAACATACAACCTCAGGCTGGCCATATAGTCTGTTCTATTTCATCATTGAGCTTGGTGGTAGGTGAAATTGTCGTTGATCACCTGCATCCATCAAGCTTAATTATATATACTCTATTCCAGTAATGGAGTTATGTAAGACTCTCATTGTCGTTTCCTTTCTCCTTCTTCAGCAAGTTCACGCTGCTAATTTGGCTCAAGGTAATCATTCATTTACTAAATGTGAAATTCATTCTTTATTAAGCAAGTTATCTTATTTGACTCTTGAAACTCACTTAGCATGATACAAAATGGCCCCTCCTTTATGCATGCCCTCCTTGTACGTACAAACGAAAAATAGAAGCATGAATCCCGGTTTAATTCTATTCCATAGCATTTAAAAGAGAGTCCCTTTTAATTTGTAGTAGAAGTTGAGATTCACAGAATTTGTCCATGCATAATGTCCTTAGGAAACATTGTGATTACCTTAGTCATTATCATATATTTGTGAGCCTAATATGATTATGTAAACATGATTTCTGTCTCTTAATGCCACCAGATGCTGTGCGGAGTCGCTAGAAATATTGCCTAGCACTTTTAACTGAATAACTCCTCTTCATACCATGAAGATTTCACTTGAGTGCAAATAATTCTGTATCGAAAATAATGAATACATGACAGAAGAGTTATCTTCAGTCTAGATTAAGACTGGAGCATAAGTACAGTAAAACTAAAGTTCTCTGCTGTAATAATGATCTATAAATATCAGCCAAGATAATATTAACTGTGAATGCTCTAAACATCCAGACTTCTATCTTCGATCGGCACACGCAAATTTCAGCATTTTTTTTATATGTTTAATTTGATTTTAAGTGCTTAACGTAGACTTTACAGACATTTGGAAATGAGCAGTTTATTACGATTAGGGTACTTTTTTTATACTTTTTGTTAATACAAACTCTTTATTCTAGTGCTGAATATCATGAATATCATAATTATTCTTTCTAGGAACCTCAAAACATTAGTTGTGCAGGAGAAAAATTAATTCCGAAAAGAGAAGAGGAAAATGCTTCCTCAGCAGCTGCGAAAGTTAATGACAAATGGTAGCCCCATTTGTCGATATAGTGCACTTGACTGGTAGGTTGACTAGGTGTTAGTGGATATCTGTTTAACTCTTACTGTTCTATCGTCAGCACTGTATCTTAGCTATTGTATTTGGTTCCTTTCATTTCACTAGGGATGTGAAAGACTCTCAAAGCTACAAAATTGGTGTGCCTATATTTCATATTTGTTGAATTGGTTGTGTTTACAGCTGTACTTTTGTGATTGCATGATATTGGACTGGGACTTCTAGATTTGTTTCCTTCATTTCACAATAATTCAAGGGCTTTTCCAAGCTGCTGCAGCTTGTAGTAATTATGACATGATTGCAACCATGACTATACCACTAATGAACTTTCAACCTCTGGTATGATTAAGGTTTAGCACTGACCATGATTCAGTGGAGGTAGACGGTGTTCGACTCTAAAGCGGTCAAGTTCCATGAGAGTTGGCACTGATTGAAACTACTCTACTAGTTTCTTTCATTTTCCATTTTTCCTTCATGAAAAAATTATTATAATTCTGCTGGTCATTGGGCAAGCTTGCAGTGCACCATGTGGCTTAATCTAAAATATCCTGCTCACTCAACATTCGGAGATCTATCATGTATCTGCATTTGAGACCACAACTAGTGTTTTTCTTGTTAAAATGTCTTGTTAGATCACTGTTTTTTCATTTTGTGTGTTGACTAATCGATGTGGAGCTGAAAGGGGAAAGAGGAAGAGGAAAAAGATGAGAAGGAAATTAAGGAGTAGGAGGCGAAGAAACAGAGCTTGGGGAGTTGTAGAGTTGGAGGGAAAAGAGATAACCAAAGAAGGGATAAATTCAAGTTCAATATTCAGAACAACAAAGGTACTTTAAAGCTAAACCGTAATAGATAGAAATCTAAAATATTCTGCAACATTACAACAAAACCTTTAAAAACACATTTGATCAAATAAATTCCTAAAGGGCATTACCTCAAGCAACTCATTTTGCATCACTAATAATCTGTAATGTGCTATGCGGCCTAGTTACTTTTATTATTTTGTGCACGTTTTTTTTATTATTTGTTCATTGATGTATTTGAATGGAGGTGTGCTATATATGTGGTGGCCGCACTCCTCTCCTTTGTTTGAAAGTTGGGATATAATTGCTTCTGACACCGTAAAATAGAAAGATTCACAACTTGTGCTTATTTTATAGCATGCTGTCTCTTGATGGTTGGGTTGAATCTCTATCTGATTTGATAAATGATTCAATGGCATTGAAGGTTCTTTTGTCTGCACTAAGGAACCTCTGTTATTGTCATCTTGCTGCCATAAATAATGAAACTTTTGGATATAGTTATTGAAATAGAAATCAGTTAAGTGGAACTAGAAACTAGAGCTTAGAATTGCTATAATTGGCTAAGAGTTTACAATCTTGATCATCAATATATGGTTGATGTTGCTAGGTTTTCCATGCATTTAAATAGTTTTAGAAATTCGCTGATTTGAAATTGTTGTTATTTTTGAAGCAAAGAAAACTTTACTCACTGTTACATTTCTTAACATCAGAAACATTACAATTTAAAGCCTAATTAACAACTACCCACTAAAATCATGATCCTAAGATTAAGCTATGACCACCAGCATGAATAACAAAAAAAATAACCAACACCAAAAAACAGGAACAACATGAAACATTCAACTAAGCAACATTCATGAATCCACATTAGCAGTCCTAAACACATCTTCTAACACTCCCCCTTACTTTAGAAGCTACAAACACCAAGTTTTGTCTTCAGAAATTCAAACTTGCTAATTGGCAGTGGCTTGGTGAAAACATTTGCAACCTGTCTTCTGTTTTGTAATAGACAAGAACAATAGCTCCATCTTTTTGTACTTCCCTTAAGAAGAATAATTTAATATTAAAATGCTTAGTTTTTCCCTTAAACACAGGATTTTGAGAGATACCAATGCCAGCTTGGTTGTCAACAAGAATATTCGTGC